GTGAAGAGTCCCACTCGTTACAGAAACGATCACCACTACCACTCGATACGAGATGGAGACTCCCGAAGAATACGAGAAGCGAATGGAGGAAGAACCTCGCAAGCCAGCAGAATCTCCTGTTGCAGCACCGGAGGGTGAGGAGTATCCGATCGTTACGGAAACGATCACCACTACCACTCGATACGAGATGGAGACTCCCGAAGAATACGAGAAGCGAATGGAGGAAGAACCTCGCAAGCCAGCAGAATCTCCTGTTGCAGCACCGGAGGGTGAGGAGTATCCAGTCGTAACAGAAACCGTCACCACCACCACTCGATACGAGATGGAGACTCCTGAAGAATACGAGAAGCGAATGGAGGAAGAACCTCGCAAGCCAGCAGAATCTCCTGTTGCAGCACCGGAGGGTGAGGAGTATCCAGTCGTTACAGGAAACGATCACCACCACCACTCGATACGAGATGGAGACTCCTGAAGAATACGAGAAGCGAATGGAGGAAGAACCTCGCAAGCCAGCAGAATCTCCTGTTGCAGCACCGGAGGGTGAAGGAGTATCCACTCGTTACGGAAACGATCACCACCACCACTCGATACGAGATGGAGACTCCTGAAGAATACGAGAAGCGAATGGAGGAAGAACCTCGCAAGCCAGCAGAATCTCCTGTTGCAGCACCGGAGGGTGAGGAATATCCAGTCGTTACGGAAACGATCACCACTACCACTCGATACGAGATGGAGACTCCTGAAGAATACGAGAAGCGAATGGAGGAAGAACCTCGCAAGCCAGCAGAATCTCCTGTTGCAGCACCGGAGGGTGAGGAGTATCCAGTCGTTACGGAAACGATCACCACTACCACTCGATACGAGATGGAGACTCCTGAAGAATACGAGAAGCGAATGGAGGAAGAACCTCGCAAGCCAGCAGAATCTCCTGTTGCAGCACCGGAGGGTGAGGAGTATCCACTCGTTACAGAAACGATCACCACTACCACTCGATACGAGATGGAGACTCCTGAAGAATACGAGAAGCGAATGGAGGAAGAACCTCGCAAGCCAGCAGAATCTCCTGTTGCAGCACCGGAGGGTGAAGGAGTATCCACTCGTTACAGAAACCGTCACGACGACCACTCGATACGAGATGGAGACTCCTGAAGAATACGAGAAGCGAATGGAGGAAGAACCTCGCAAGCCAGCAGAATCTCCTGTTGCAGCGTGGAGGGTGAGGAGTATCCAGTCGTAACAGAAACCGTCACCACTACCACTCGATACGAGATGGAGAGTCCTGAAGAATACGAGAAGCGAATGGAGGAAGAACCTCGCAAGCCAGCAGAATCTCCTGTTGCAGCGTTGGAGGGTGAGGAGTATCCATCGTTACGGAAACGATCACCACCACTACCACTCGATACGAGATGGAGACTCCTGAAGAGTTCGAGAAACGAATGGAGGAAGAACCTCGTAAGCCAGCAGATGAATTTGAGAAGCACTATGAGTTGGAATCGCCGAAGCCAGCAGAGCTCCCAGTGACCGGGGCTGAACAAGAAGAGCGAGAGATGGTCAGCGCTGCTGCATATCATGAAGGACCAGGAGAAGAAGAATATCTACTTGACGAAAAGACAATGGAGCCATCAATTGGTGACAGACTTGCAAGATTCGCAGGGAAAGCTGCCAAAATCGCTGGTGGTGCTGTGGTTGCTCCAGTGGCGTTAGCTGCCATGGGTGCAACAGCAGCGTACGAAGCAATAACAAAGAAGGAAGGTGAACCCCTCGTAGTGGTTGCTGAAGGTCGAATGGTTCCAGAGATTGAATATAAAAGAGACTCAGAGGAGAGGACAGCACCAGGACACCTATCCATTACAGAAGGAGAATTAGAGAAGGGTATTGAATCTCCGAAAGCAGCAGAAGCTTCGGTCACTGCCGCTGAACGTGGAGAATTTCCACTTATAACGGAAACCGTGACCACTGTTTCTCGGTATGAAATGGAGAGTCCTGAAGACTTCGAGAAACGAATGGAAGAAAAAGCTGGGAAATCTTTAGAATCTCCTGAAGACGCATCAGCCGAAAGAGCGGAATTGCTAGAAGATCACCACGAAGCGCTTACTACTGTGAAGGAATCGCATGTCGCATATGAAAGTGAAGAAAGGGCTGCGCCCCTTAGCGGAGGAAAGGGAACAGTTTGTAATAGAATCAGAGGAATACGAAGCTAAGTCACCTGAGCAACCTTTGTCCTCCCCAACGAAGACCGAGAAGTATCATTCCAAGTAAAGGAATTGCCAGAAGATCACCATGAAGCGCTCACTACTGCGAAGGAATGGGAGACCACATACGAAAGTGAAGAAAGATTCCATGATCCTTCAATCAAATACGTCAGAGAGTACGTAATAGAATCCGAGGAGTACAAGACTGAGTCTCAGGAGCAACCTCAGTCTTCTCCAAGAGAGTCTGAAGAGGCCTTGCTTGAAAAGAAAGAACTGCCAGAAGGTCACCACGAAGCCATTGCACCTTTAGCGGAAGATAAGGAACAGTTTGTTTTAGAATCAGAGGAATACGAAGCTAAGTCACCTGAGCAACCTTTGTCCTCCCCAACGAAGACCGAAGAAGTATCATTCCAAGAAAAGCAACTGCCCGAAGACCACCGCGAAGTGCTCGCTACTGTAAAAGACTGGGATGCCGCCTATGAAGTTGTAGAAGAGACTGCACCTTTAGCGGAAGATAAGGAACAGTTTGTAATAGAATCAGAGGAATACGAAGCTAAGTCACCTGAGCAACCTTTGTCCTCCCCAACGAAGACCGAAGAAGTATCATTCCAAGAAAAGCAACTGCCCGAAGACCACCGCGAAGTGCTCGCTACTGTAAAAGACTGGGATGCCGCCTATGAAGTGGAAAAGAGACTGCGCCTTAGCGGAAGATAAGGAACAGTTTGTAATAGAATCAGAGGAATACGAAGCTAAGTCTCCTGAACATCCTTTGTCCTCACCGACGAAAACTGAAGAAACATCATTCGAAGAAAAAGAACTACCAGAACTCCATGAAACGCTCACTACTACGAAGGACTGGGAGACCACATACGAAATTGGGGAAGGGTTTCATGATCTGTCAACGAAGGACGCTAGACAGTACATAATAGAATCGAAGGAGTACGAAACTGAGTCTCAAGAACAGCCCTTGTCTTCACCATCAGAGATAAAAGAAGCTGCGTTTGAGGGGAAGGAGCTGTCAGAAGATCACCATGAATGTCTTAGCACTGTGCAAGAACACGAACTGAGTCTCCAAGAAAGCCGAGTGATCGGGTCATCACCATTATCAGAGAAGAGGTACTATATCGAAGACCCAAGGCTTCATGGGGCAGGTGAAGCTGCTGATATGGCAAGAGATCAACTACCGGAAAGAATATCTTCGCAGAAGGATGAAGATAGTCAATTGTTTGAAAGCGTCCAGCAAGACCAGACTTCTATACAAATGTTAGATGAAAAAGCTCTTGAAAATGTTGTCAAAGTGACATTTAGGGACACTGCCGAATTGGATTCGCCTGAAAAGCAATCAACCCAAGCGCCATCATCGTATCCCGATGAGCAACTTTCGATTGCTGGTGATGAAGAGTGGAAGGTTTATGACAACAAGGGTGAAGTTCTTGAGGAGTTTTCCCACCAGCTGACTCAAGAGCTGATTTTGGAAGCCGAATGTAATGCAAGCGTCCAGTCACTGCACTCACCATCCATGGTAACAAGGCAAGATTCATATAATGATATCAGTTTGGAGCATGAAATCGATTACCAATCAGATCTGCAGGAAAAATTGGATATTCTAGCTGGAGAGAGCCGTGAAAAGTTGACATCTGTCCACGAGGAAGATCAGCTGGAAGTAATCAACGAAACTGAATATGAGCACGAGTCCGAAGATGAACACGATATTGAAAAAACTGCATCTCGTCTCGCAGAAGATGCTATTAACGCTGCTCTAGAGCCTCATGAAGATGCAAAAACTTTAACATCAACTTCAGAATCTAATGTTTATCACACTGCAACTGAACAATCAAAGGATGACCAATATGACACTTGCGTAACCTCTCAAGACACATACGATTCAGCACAAGAATGGACTTCCCAAGAGTCAGAGTACACAACCGCAGCCAGCGGTGCAACCAGCCGATTGAGTGAAGCAGAAGAAAGACATGGTAGCGTCACTCCATTGGCCATTCTATCACCTGTTGACTCTGATCGTCAATTTACGGCGAACCAGGATTTCGACGACGTCGTTCCTATCCGACGTTTTGGCATCGACGATACGGCTAGGTCAACACCAGATGTAGCTCTTCAAGTCACAATTGAGGAAGAGGAGGAGGAATCTGAGGCAACCTTAGCTACCAGTCCTAGTGGAGTGCTACTTGCTCCGCAAATGGACCCAGGCCGTCCTATTTCACCAGTTCCACCAACTCGTCAAGTGGAAGAAGATGAAGAAATTTTTGTATTCTTAGAGAAACCGGTTGATAAAGATGGCATTAAAGCGTTAAGTGATGGAAAGAAGGCGGATGAATCGTCTGCTGAGGCAGAAGCTTCGGGTGAAAGTCAAGGCGAAAAAACATACACTCGTCAGTATTCTGATATGTCCTCAGAAAGTCATGCTGACACCGTGATACATCACGAGAAGGGAGACACCGAGACTGTTGTAGATGCAGAAGAGATTCGATCCTCTTGTGAGCCAATGTCAGGTTCTTCTGATTCATTAGACAAAACGTCTGCTAGGAGCAGCACTGTGGAGAAAAGGTTGGTTTTTTTTTCAAAATTTGTTCATGCATTCTCAATGAATCACAGTCATTTCAGAGACACCTCTTCGCAACGATCCAGCGCTTCACCGCCAAAGGAAAGCGAAGGAGTGCTAGATACAGAACAACCAACGGAATCGCCATCTTCGGAGGATTCTCTCAAAGAAAAAGCCAGTGATAGCGAAGAAGGATTTGTGATTTGTTCTTTCACAGAAGACACTCCAATTGTGGAAGGTGAACTGGAGACAGTAGAAGAGGAACCTGAGGATGTTGAATCAGTCAACGGTAGCGGAAATTCCTCCGTTGGTGCACCATCAGATTCGCTCGCATTACTTGGAAAGTATAAACACGTGTCGAGCGATAATGTTTCATTGACAAGCCTGCAAGAGTTTGAACGCTTAGAACAAGTTGTAATCAATCGAGGGGAAGCTAGCCTTAGTGCTAGCGAAATAGAACTATACGCAGCCGGAAAACTACGATCGGGTGAAGGATCAGTCAGCTCCTTGGCTGAATTTGAAAAACTGGAAAAAGAGCTTGCCGCAAATATTTCTCCACAAGAGGATGCCGCAATGTTACCGGAAATCCGGGAGGAGTCCGAAGTGGAAGATATGAGCGTACGCGATGATGACGAAGATGATCACTCAGTAAGTAGCTTCGTTTTCAGTACAATTTTGGTGGTTATAACGACATAGTGAGGCCGATGTTAGACTTTGCGACTGAGCGATCCGCTATTACCGAATCGAGCGATTCGCTAGATTCGCTAGCGGAGCCTAACATCGACCTGACTTGGAATAATGCCAAAAACTTCCGTATTATTGATCTTTCATAAGTTAAAGAACAAAACAACTCTATAAGTTATTGTAATTTTGAAATAAATTAAGAAAATTGAAATGTTGTGTAAATAATAACCAGGAAAGTCGTTCAGCCCTTGGAGCGCCTTTTTTTAAAGCGATTTGTTGCATTTTATCGGAGTGCGTGTGTGAAGCATAAAACTGATGATTATTTTATCTAAGCGGGATTGTCAGAAAGAGGGAAGATCACTTTCCTTAGGGAATGAAACTTTTGCATTTTCATTATACTCTACAGCATTCGAAGAATTGAATAATTGCATATTGGAAGTTTTTGTTCCGTGAATGAGTTTAGACATGTACGAGCGCAAGAATGTGGAACTTAGAGAAGTTGGTCTTCAAGGAAATCGAACCACAAATCATAGTTTCTACGTATTTTTTGGCACTCACAAGGCTGCTCTAAAAAACGGTCCACAGTTCTATGCGCGTGCTCCTATTACACGCGGAGAACCGTCTTGAGAGGCGCTCCTTTTCTTACAAGACCTCCTGGTAAGATACCGTGGCTAAGTCCGCCCAAAGATAAATCCGTTTCGTAAAGTGAGCGCAATCTACGCAGCATGTGTATTGTTTAATTTATTATTTATTTTATGTTTATTATTTGTTTTCTTCTTCTATTTGTCTCAGTTGTTTTGTAAATCTTTTCTGGAATAAAAATTCTTTATGAAACCAAAGTCGAGCAAAAAGGGGGGACAAACAAAAAAGAATGCGTTTTCGGCATGAACCAAAGTGGGCTTATTCATGGGATTTTAGCATGCAAAGACACTTCCAACATATATTAAACCTATCCAAAATACACCAAGGCTCAAAAGCAAAAACTTTGAGCGTTGATTCCCTTTTTGAATGCGCAACGCCTTCTATCAAGCTCCAATTTGATTCACGGACCGAACACGCGAGAAACTACTTCATTGCACATAGCCTTCGTCCGTAAAAGAATACTTTGAACTTTGTTTTCATTAAACGCTTGAACTACTTCTTCAAAACGCCCTTTGGTAAATCATATTTCTTTTCTTTGCCCTTTCGTGTTGCTTCTTTGATGGTAAACCAGTGAGCTTGTTTTCAGGAAACAGAGGTAAAAACAAGACCAATTGATGAGGAAGATTTGCGGGCGGCAACACCTATTGCATCGCCAGTAGATTCACTAGAACGTGAACCAGTCCCACCTAGTGCTGTGCCGCTTTTGGAAACTAGCACCGATTCTCTCGAACCATCTTATGAACGAATCGAATCACAAGCTCAACGAGACAGTGATACATCTTCGCTAGCAGAATACGAGGTTGGTTTCATTTTTCGTGTCATGAGATTAGAGTTTTAATTTCTGTTCAACTTCCACTCACAGTTGACTAATAATTCTAGTGTTTGTAAAAAATTGGCAGCGGATCGTTATAAATGTAATGTCAAAAAATAAAAAATCATCTAAGAAAAGGGCAGCAAAAAGTATTAGATCTACAAGTTCCTAATACGAAAGGCATGCTTTTGCAGACACACATTCATATCAAATGGCAGTCAGAATCTGTTCTTCTTTTTAGATCACACCCAGCCGCGGAATTGGCGGAACGTTTGTCTGAATTGTTGATTCACCAGTTTTCTTTCCGTTATTTCCTGCGCTTAGTTCGCTTTACTGTAATTGCGCTTGTGAGGAAGGTATACAGCGCAATAATAACGCAAAAGAGAATTCGACAAAGAGACTTTGGAGTACACGAGAAGGTAGAGGACAGGCTGCACTGCTAAAACCCAAAGAGTATGAAAAATTTTGCTGAAATTGCACCAGTTATTCAGCGTCCTGTTCACGAATATGACCCTCATTTTGGGGTCAGTAGGGTGGTTGATAGGGGGAAGAGGTGACGAACTCAGAGAGATCTTCAAAGAGCTCATACCGCTGGTCACAGGGCTTTGACTACTTTCCAAAGAAGCCTCGATCCGCAATGGGGCGAGAAAATTATACATATGCGTCAAAAATTGTGCTATGTATGGCAACTGAAATACGAGAATTCGAATAACGTCAATAAATACAGATCGAAGTACAGTCTAGTACGCGATTTTACAGTGAATTTGATGAAAATGGGTGTTGCACCAAATGGGCGCAAAATGGTGTCAAAGCGTCGTGAGATATCTCTTATCAGGGCACTGATTTATAATGATAGGCAGAGTTTTGACGGAAGTTCAGTCGAGATTTTGCAGTTGTAATAATAGTTCGTAGATAGTGTCATTGTTTTCCTTCTACAACTTGTTAATTAACTCTCATCCACGTGATTTTTAGGTGATAACCCGTTTGGGAGAAAGTGCAAGAGATTCATTGGAGAACATACACCATGAACGAGACTCTTTACTTGAGGGCGCCAGCCAAGATATTATGACAAGCCAGGATACACACGCCCTACTCAGCGGAGACACCGTGAGTTGACAGTTTGGAATACAATAGTGATTTCCTATAGCCACTGAGCTAAACCAGTCGAGTTGAACTCACGCACTTTGGAAGGATGAAAATGTGTGATGGCTCCACTGATAAGAGAGATAAGAAAAGGTCAGCTTTCTACTCGATACCACTGCTGGCAGTACTCCTTGCATCGCGTAAGGTCCGGCTTGAAAGCGATCCCGCTCTGGCGCAAGTGTAGTCCAAGGATCCTTGCCGCGCAAGGGTCCGCGAATTTTCACAGAGAGAGGAAGCTCTGGTATATATGTTAGCCATCTTGCCTGTGCAAAAAATGACTAAGCGACCACTGAAATTGAAATATGCTACTGAATGCCTTGAGTTGTTTGTGCCTAGATGTCCCTAAACTACACTTGAGCCTCGGTTTTTCTGAGAAATTACCTGGTACGCAATGTGAGGAAGAGGTGGTAGGCTGTGAGAACAGGCTTAGAATGTGATTCATGACATCATACTTGTGAGAAAAAGTGGTCACAATGTGCCGCGATAGCGGACCGGCTGCCGTATCGCGTCAGCCTTACGATAACCCTCGATTCTACGCATTTCCTAAGGGATGGGCAATTCGGGCATGGGTCGTTAGGCGTTGGCTAACAACACTTATAAAGAGATCGTTTGAATCTCTTTATAGAACCAACCCTCAACGGATCCTATGGCGCGATCCTTCCAACGCTGGCGCGTTGATATGACATGCCGCTGCACTCCATCCTTCCGGCTGTTTGAGCTGCGCCACTAATCAAAAAAGAAATGCTCCAAACAGTTGAAGATTTCCACAGCTCCCATGGGCGGTAGGCCCTGAGCCGCAACCCCCCGAACGATCTCATTCTAACGCCCTGTAGGCCGTAGGGGAGCGGCGACCCAAAGCTGCGGTTTTTACACAGGTTGAACGTAAGATTGCCAAGTCTAAGCATCAAGGGAAGGATTTCGGATGAGGAAGTTCTTCCATCTAGCGGGAAAAGTTGAGTTGGGAAGGGCAAGGCTTGTATGGCTCAAGTTGCCCGAAGACCAGTAGAGTTGTACGTATTTGTATATGTTGTAGAGTTGTATAAATAGCTTCGCATGTTAGTAATACATATTGTCGTTCCAAAGGTAATAACGAGAATTGGGATTCATGTGCACGATATAAATTCATCTTAAGGAGGGCAATGTGCCCAAATAAAGGCAGGCTGGGCCCAGTATGTACGGGACGTGCGCTTTCGCGACGAATAGAGCGCGCGTAGCGATTTCACTAGTCCTTGCCCGTCCTGCATGCCTCTGTGCCCGTATTCGCCCTGCCTAACTTCTGGCCCCTCGCCATTGGACTCTACCCTTTTTCAAAATAGAAACATTGAACGACTTCACATCAATGAAGTCAGCATGTTGGGAATCGTCCAGCGTGAAAATCAAAAAAAAGGGGGGAAGTCATGGCTTACAATTTCAGTATCGGGTTTCTTGGGTTCTTTTTTTTAAATGAACACTTTTTGCCATATCTAGTTCCATTTGAAGAGGGTGACCATTTCATAGTATCATCTGCCTTTAAGGCTATTCTAATGTGTTGCGCCACAACTCTAATCGTGAAAAATGCCTAACCCTAAATCATTACGCTGAAACACGTGCAGTGCACATTTTGAACACACTACTCTCTTAACTGAACATCCTCCAATGCTAGAATATTGGGGGGGTTGCGTCGCCGCCGTGGTGGCGACATGTGCACGCTCTCCGGTACGAAGCAAGGAATCCGTAACCCAGGGGGAGTGTGACCAATTCTTTCCGTTGGCCCGTCACCCCAATCAGCTTAACACCAAACTTCCTCATAATTACAATGCATTTACAAATTCGCTATTCAGGTTGGTACCTACCAAGAACACGACGATGACGATAAAGACTCGCTTGGTGGCGACATGGACACAATGCTCCGTGATTATCCGACCACACTGACCACTTTCGAGACGACAGCAATCGGACCTGACTTCGGAACAGTGCAAACCATCTCACGCAGAGTAGAAACACGGGTATGAATAGAGAGCTTCACGAAGTTTACTTGGCATTCAATAAACTCAACAGCTCTACCTGAGGGCGCATTCATAGTCGGTCATTCGATCGCACAACGTTAGACATGTATCGATCGTCCAGTCCTCGGACACGCCCGGCAATCGATACGCATCCAGTGCTGGGCGATCGTTACGATCGCACAATCGACTATGAAAGCACCCAGAGTAACGGGGGAGAGAGGTATTTGCTGCAATTATCTGTGTTCGGAGGGGAGAAAGCTCCGGATAGCCACCTAAGACCACTTTTTCTTATCGATCACACTAAAAGAATCGTCGTGGTTCTAGATGCATTGGACGCTATACACCAAATCGCCCATAACGTCAAATCAAATAATGATGAATCGGAAATTAACAAAAATTATTGAAATTGATACAAAATTATTCTTGCAAAGGTTCAGCATAACAATACTACATTCAAATGGTGAAATTTTGGTTGAAATGAATATTCAAATTAAAAACACAGTAATTTACAAAATGGTTGGGTCCACAACACGACCGAATGACTGGTTGTAATGGCACGACCGCTTATGACGCCTTACGCCGTGACTATGAAAGCGACGCCAGTTTGGCGTCGGTAGATCGTACAAACGATCGATGGATCGATCGGGTCTGACAAGCCTTGACCTGGCAGGAAGCTTTCACCACCGCAGCATGTTCTTGAATGGGAATTGCATGTAGCGGGTATCGAACTCCCATAAACGTATATCACATCTTCACGTAAGGGATTTAGCTTGAATTTTCTCGAGCAAAAAAAGTGATTCGAAGTTTATTAGGACTTAAATGACGAGAAAGCCATGAAGATTTCACAGATCCCTGTGAAGAGATCATGGCGCATCAGGAGTCGGAGGCAAGGTCAACGGTTCGTTGAGATTTAGCCAAAGAAGGGGGTCGTATTAGGGAAAAGGGATCGCCTTTAGAAAAAAGCACAGATTTCTGACAATTGGAATTATTTTCTAGAGTCGCGAAAATCACCCTTAAATTTTGCCGTTTCATGTAGCTGGTTATTTTCCTACTATTTCCCACATCATGGAATTTTAATATTGTTTGTTTACATCCATATTCCTGACACCTGCGACTAGATACCCTCTCAGCCAGAGTTGGAGGAAACCTCGAATATGATTGTTTTTCGGGCCGCATACTGCAGCCCGCAGCCTGGATGGGAAAGAAATCTCGGTCATTGGCCATACACGGGGCTGTGTCTTAACGTGGTGCTTCGGGCAGGTACCAGGGTCAAGCGAGGCGTTGAGGAAAATTTGGAAATACGACCCCCCCCCCACCACCCTCCGCCGGAGGCCGAAGTCCATGAAACAACCCTCTTCAAAAGCCGAACTATGAAAAGGTTGAAATTGTTTAATTCTCCCCAAAACTGCTCATAAAAAAGCCCTGCTACCCCACCGTCCACAAAAAATTCGTTTAAGAAGTACAAAAGTGAAAAAGTCAAAGAATAATCATTATTGATGAGTCCTACCAAACGAGCAAACGAGAAACAGACCAGAAAACGACAAACTAGCCACTAAAAATGGCATACTATGACAACATCTGTTCTTTATTTATTTCCTCCACAAGACTTACCAAATTCTAGTACTACACAGATTGTGGTTCTCAATTTGCACGTAGCCCTTCAGTTGAAAGAAGCTTTTTAACCGCCTTCGCCAGCTGTGTGTTGACTGGACTTTGGCGTTGACCGTGGAGCAGCTTATTTACTATTGAAATTTGAACAAATATTCAAATGATTATAACTTTCTTCAAATATGACGAATTTTCAATCTGAAAGCAGATTTGGGAGTTTTGTGAAGAGCTTTTTCTAATCAGTATAGAAATTACAAAAAGTTATAAGAAATAACAAATTTAGATCAATTAACGAGGAAAATTCGAGATGAGCACGAGTTTTTACACTTTCCGAAGCAATAACTTGCTTCATTTCGTCAAATTCGAAAAGTTAATATGGCATACAAAACTAGAAGATTTTCTCTACCAAACCGTTGCTAAAGCAGCTCTATACGTCCAGTATTCAAAAAATGGCCACGTTGAGGATTTCTGCAAAATTAACGAGGAAAATTTGTGATGAGTGCGAGTTTTTTTACTTCCTAAAGCCATAACTCCGTTCAAACTCATCCAATCCCAAAAGTAAATACGCCATCATAAACTAGAAGATTTGCTCTATCAAATGCTTACTAGAACTGCTCCAAACGTCCAGTATTAAAAAAACGGCTACGTTGAGGATTTTCGCACGAGTACCGCCGAAAGGTACTTTTTCGCTACATTGGCACTATTTCAACGGCTGTATATCCTTTTAAGGGCGATTATGTACTAAAGTAAGAGCAGATTTGAAATCACTGCTTTTCTCTTTCTAAGAAAAGTGATTGATTAGCGTTTCTCAACTTTAAAGGTTACATGTTTATAAATTTAACCCTGAAGAGTCCGTTAACGCAGTGTTGAATGGTGTACACCTCCCTGTAAATGCGCACGGACACTTTCAGAATTCTCTCGATTGTTCCTGAATTGAGGTTGTTTGTCCAAGGAGCCGTAGTTGAAGCGCGCGCAACAACTAGACCCTTTCTCGGATGCGCCGTGTACCTCACATCCCTTCAGATTCGGGGTCTTACTTGAAAGATGAAATATCTCTTGGAAAGCGTGCGAAATTCAGATTCTTTAACTTGTGTGGTGATAAAACACTGAAGTAACTAAGAATTACCGGACGCCTCAGAATCACGAAAATTTTGTGTGGGTGAAATATCATTTTCATTGGAAATCCTCTGGCCTGGCATCGACTCATCCTTGATATTTGTCTTCCGACGGTGATGATCCCACTGCATCAAAATGGCTCGATCTCTTCCACCCAGCGGGCCAATACGACCCCCCCCCTGCGACGTGTCGAGGATTCCTCAACGCACGCTTGACCCTGGAAGTGAAGATGCTGAATAATGCCCTAGTAGCGAAAAAAGCAAAGAAATCCGTCAAAAACGCGCAAAATGGGACCACTTCCTCTGCCCGTTGACCTCCGATAATGGACGAGTTGGCAACCAACTAAGAGGTCGTCGGCACTCGTTAAACCATAGCTGCCATCATACCACCAGAGATCATACCTTGATTGATATAGCATTCCATGAGAAAAAAATTGGATACGCGCTCGAAGTGGCATACCTTATCAGAATGATAATCGAACAGCGATCTGCTGAGGGGCGGAGCACAGGCGGAGGCGGAGCTCAGAAAGGATTGGCAGCCCCAGGGCGCTGCAACGAGCGCACCTTTAGTCACAAAAAGGCCACATCTCGATTCCTTTGGGCTCTAGCTACTGCTTGAAGTGCTGCTCGTTCTTCCATGCTGCACAGAAATTTTATCGTAATTTCTCGCTTTAATAAACCACTTCTAAAAGCGAGAAAATGAGGGGGGGGTGCGTCGCCGCCGTGGTGGCGACATGTGCACGCTCTCCGGTACGAAGCAAGTAATCCGTAACCCAGGGGGAGTGTGACCAATTCTTTCCGTTGCCCGTCACCCCAATTAGCTTAACACCAAACTTCCTTATAATTACAATGCATTTACAAATTCGCTAGTTCAGGTCGGTACCTACCAAGAACACGACGATGACGATAAAGACTCGCTTGGTGGCGACATGGACACAATGCTCCGTGATTATCCGACCACACTGACCACTTTCGAGACGACAGCAATCGGACCTGACGGAACAGTGCAAACCATCTCACGCAGAGTAGAAACACGGGTATGAATAGAGAGCTTCACGAAGTTTACTTGGCATTCAATAAACTCAACAGCTCTACCATGAGGGCGCATTCATAGTCGGTCATTCGATCGCACAACGTTAGACATGTATCGATCGTCCAGTCCTCGGACACGCCCGGCAATCGATACGCATCCAGTGCTGGGCGATCGTTACGATCGCACAATCGACTATGAAAGCACCCAGAGTAACGGGGGAGAGAGGTATTGCTGCAATTATCTGTGTTCGGAGGGGAGAAAGCTCCGGATAGCCACCTAAGACCACTTTTTCTTATCGATCACACTAAAAGAATCGTCGTGGTTCTAGATGCATTGGACGCTATACACCAAATCGCCCATAACGTCAAATCAAATGTATAGAAACGAAATTCACAAGAAAAAACTTATATTATATAAAACTTAGGCGCTATGTGACTCGAGGGGGGCCAGTCGCCCGCGCGCGGCCGTGCGGCAACAGGAAATTCGAACATTCCGGCTTCTCACGGAACATTCCAGCTTCTCACGCATGTCATGTGACTGCCCTCACCCCCAACCCCCCTGAATTGGCTACACTCCCCCTGGCTCACGAATTTCCTGTTGCCGCACGGCCGCCGCGCGCGACTGACTGCCCCCCCCCCGGCCCCAGCCCCCGCGGCCAAAACCTATTGCTTGCACCAGTTCAGCAAACAAGACTCACATCGAATGGTGCAATTTGATTCAAATCGAATAATGGAAATAAAAAACAGTAAGTACAAATGGCTTGGGCACAATCCGACCGAATGACTAGTTGTAATGGCACGCTACGCGCTTATGACGCCTTACGCCGTGACTATGAAAGCGACGCCAGATTGGCGTCGGTAGATCGTACAAACGATCGATGGATCGATCGGTCTGACAAGCCTTGACCTGGCAGGAAGCTTTCACCACCGCAGCAAGTTCTTGAATTAGGCATGTAGGCCCGGGTTTCGAACCGCTTGCATTAACTAAGCACCCCCATAGAACTAATCAACATCTCACGTAAGGGAGTAGCTTGAATTCTTCCAAGAGACAAAAAGATTCGCCAGTTTACCTAGATTCAAAGATGAGAAAGCCCACTAAGATTCACAAGATCTCCGGAGAGATCATGGGGCTTCAGAGTCGAGGCAAGTCCAACGGTTGCGTAGAGATTAGCCAAAAAAGCGGTCGTATAGGAACAGAGATCGCGCTTTCGAAAAACCAGATTTTGACCATTGAATCCTTTTAGCCGTCGCGGCCCGAAATCCATTACCATTTGCCGTTTCTATAGCTGTATTTTCCTACTATCTCCCACATCATGGAATTTTAATATTGTTTGTTTACATCCATATTCCTGACACCTGCGACTAGATACCCTCTCAGCCAGAGTTGGAGGAAACCTCGAATATGATTGTTTTTCGGGCCGCATACTGCAGCCCGCAGCCTGGATGGGAAAGAAATCTCGGCGTTATTGCAATATACGGGGGCTTTTGTCTAAACGTGTGCATTCTGGTCAAGTCGTGGTGACATACTTGCTAAGACCTGGTTAGAGCTTAGAACGCGTCAAAACGCGTACATTCCGACCCAGTGCCAGCCGTTCCATCCCAACGCATTCCGCTGGCTTTCTATTCCAAAACATTTCGTAACATTTAATCCTTTTGGGCGCTATCGCAAGACACGGGGGCATCTCCCTGGACTAACGATATGCTCACGCAATCTGGAGCCTCTTCTTCTCCACCTAAGATTTCGCCTCTTTTGACAGAAAGGAGATTTACGCAGTTCTGAATGCATTGCCACCACATGCACAACTACCTTACGATAGCGCCTTAAAAGAATCTCTTTTTCCTCCATTTGAAAAGCTTAGCCTTAGCACTAGATAAAGCAAAGATTTTCTAATTTTCTAGACCTGAGGAAGGGCTTAACCTGAAACGTCGTCACATAAAAGATTTTGAAGAGTTTCATATCATCTGCACACGAAGAACAAAGATTTTCTATTCAGATCCGAGCCACTAATCGAGCCGTTCAACTTGTACCGATTAGACACATTAACGAAACGTGGGCGGGCGTTTACGAAATGCCCCCTTACATTGCGATAGCGCCAAATATCTTTAGATTTGTCTGTTTTTCTGAGGGTTCCCTCTTGCAGGGTGTGTTCGTAAGGTTTATGTATAGGTAAAAATGAGACCATGCTTGAAGAAAAGGAACTATTTTGTAGAAAACAAATAATTTTGGAACGGTTGTTTTCCAAATTCCTATCAAGGAGTATAGCAATATGGGTACTGAAACCTCTGTGAATACATTGCCGTGACACACTTCGCCAACTGTTTATGATGGCTGCAATTTCAGGTGCGTGACCCAGTGATGAGCCACGTAACGTTTAC